CAGAAGAGCTGAATAAATCAACATTATTCCAAAGATCCAAAGAGGTGCTTACAAGAGACTCACTTTAGCCTTAAAGACTCATGTATACTGAGAACGATGGGATGGAAAAAGACATTTCAAGCAACGGTAGCAAAAACAAAAAACCAAAAAAAAAATGGGTAACTATACTTAGACAAAATAGGTTTTCAACTAAAAATGGTAAAAAGACAAAGTAAAGGGGTGTATTTATCCATCAAACAGACATAAAATTGTAAATATGTATGCACCTAATGTCAGAGCATGTAAATAAAGCAAAAACAGAGCTAAAAGGAGAAATAAACAGTACAGTAACAGCTGGAGACATTTCATTGACACTTATCAATAAAACAGCAGATACGGAGGACACTATAGACCAAATCGACCTAACAGACATATACAGTATATCCAACAACGTCAGAATACACATTCTTCTCAAACACCCTTGAAATAATTTCTAGGCTAGACCATATGTTAGGCCACATAACACATCTTAGCAAATTCAGGAAGACTGAATCGGACCAAGCATCTTCTCTGAAATCAATCCAGGAAGAAAACTGAGAAATTCACGAGGACGTGGAAATTAAACAACACTCTCCTGAACAACCAATGGGTCAAAAAAAATTAAAGAGAAAATTAAAAAGTATGTTGAGACAAACTAAGATGGAAATACAACCTACCAAAACCTCCGGGATGCAGCAAAAACCGTTCTAAGGGGGAATTTCATAGCAATAAACACCTACATTAGGCAACTAACTGTACAGTAACGGATGATTACTAAACTTATGGCAATCACGTCGTAAGATATATAAATGTCAAATTGCTACTTTATACTCTAAACTAATAATGCTGTATGTCAACTTTAATTTTTAAAAATGTGAGCAACTTTAAAAAAAAAAAAACCTCAAATAAACCACCTAAACTCTACATCTTAAAAATTTAGAAACTGAGCCCAAAGTTAGCAAAAGGAAGATTAGAGCGGATAAATGAAAAATGGAACAGAAAGACAACAGGAAAAATGAACGAAACTAAGCTGGTTCATGGTAAACACTTAACCGATCGGATCTAGAAGGAACGTACTTCGACGTAAAGGTCACGTACGACAAGCCCATGGCTAACATCACGCTTCGCTGTGAAAGGTTAAAGCTCTTCCTCTGAGAGGAAAAGGCTGCCACTCTCACTAACCCTACTCAGTGCAGTACTGGAGTCCCGGCCAAGGGCATTCGGGCAAGAACTAAAAAGCCCCAGAACTGGAAAAGTAAAACTGTCTCCATGTGTACATGACACAGTTTTATCCATACAAAATCCTAAAGACTCATAAATTCAGTTAAGGTCCAGGATACAAAATTAACATACAAAAAACAGTAGTATTTGTATACATTCACAATTATCTGAAAAAAGAAATAAAATGATCCCATTTACAATAGCATCAAAAACAATAAAATACTTAGAAATAAATCTAATCAAGGAGGTACAAGATCTGTCCACTGAAAACTATATGACATTGATGAAAGAAATCAAAGATGATGCAAATAAATGGCAGTTTCCCCGTGTTCATGGATTGGGAGATTTAATTGCTAAAATTTCCATATTACTAAAAGTCATCTATAGCTGCAATCGTATCCCTATCAAGATTTCAATGGCAATTTTTATGGGAGTAGAAAGAACAATCCTAAAATTTGGAAGCACAAAAGACACCAAACAGCTAAAGCAATCCGAACAAAGTACAAGGCAAGAGGCGTCACAATTCCTGATTTCAAGGTCAAGTGTAAAGCTACGGTGATCAAAACAGTATCGGTAAGGGCATTGAAGCAGACCGGCCAAAGGAACAGAATCGAGCCCAGAAAAAAATATACACACCGCATATGTAGTCAAGTAATAATCGATAAGGGAGCCAAGAATACTCACTGGCGAAAAGATGGTCTTTTCAATAAATGCTGCTGGGAAAACTAGATATTCACACGTGAAAGCAAGTAGAACCCTACCTTACACCACTCACAAAAGTTAACTCAACATGGGTTAAAGACTTGACTCTAAGGCTGAAAACCATAAAACTCCTAGAAGCAAACAAAGGCAGGAAGGTCCTCGACACCGGCCTTAGCGATGACTTTCTGGATGAGACACAGAGCACGAGCCAGCACATGAAAAATAAATGAGTGCAACTCCATCAGACGAAAAAGCTACACAGCGAAACAACCAAAATGTAAAGCAACTTACAGAACGGGAAAAATATTTCAAACCCTAAATCCTTTAAGGAGTTAATATCCAAAATATACTAAAAAAACCTCATATAACTCCATAGCAAAAAAAATCACCCAATTAAAAAATGAGCAAAGGACCTGAAGTTATAGGAACAGCCAACAGGGACTTGGAAAGATGCTCAATCAACATCACTCATCATGCAAATCAAAATCACGAGATACCACCTGACGCCTGTTAGAATGGCTGTCATCAAAAAGACAAGATTAAGTGCTGGCGAGGATGTGGAGAAGAGGGAGCCCTCGGAGCTGCTTTTGGGACTGTAAACTGGTACAGCCGCTATGGAAAAGTGATGGAGGTTCTCCAAAAAACTAGAAATACGGCCAGCAGATGGTCCAGTCATTCTACATCTGGGGATATATCCGAAGAAATGAAAACCCTGTGCTGAAGAGATTCTCTGCACCCCCACGTTCACAGCAGCTTTATCTACAACCGCCGAGACATGGAAACAACCTGAGTGTCCACGAATGGGTGAATAAAGCTGACACACGCGCGCACACACACGCACGATGAATAAAGCTCTGATACACACACACGCACACACTGAAATATTATTCAGCCATGAAAAAGGAACTCCTGCCATTTGAGACCGATGGGCCTCAAGGGCGTTACAGCACGTGAAATAAGGCAGTCGGGGAAATACTGTATGACCTCTCTCACGTGTGGATTACAAAAACACCCAAACCTACAGAAAGATCAGGTATATGGGGACCAGAGGCAGGGAGGAGGGGGAGGGGAAATCGGCAGAAGGTAGTTAAAGGGGACAAACTTCCAGGTATGAATTAGAAGGGGTGCAACGCACAGCGTGATGGCTGCGCTGCCGTGTGGTCCACAGGAAAGTTGAGGGCGCAAATCCCAGAGCTCTCAGCGCAGGGGAAAAGCAAGCTTTTCTCTCTGAGATGATGGATGTTAACCAAACTTACACCGTGATAGTCATTTCAGAACATGGGTGAGTCAAATCGCTACGCTGTACGCCTTAAAACGGTACCGTGCGCTGTGTCCACTGTATCTCGATACAAAATAAAATGGAAGGAGGAAAAATGTTCAAGTCCCGTGTATGAGGCGTCATTTCAGGCCTGAACCATCCTCCCTCACCCCCAGGCTGTCTTCGCAGTTAACTCGGGGGCGGCTTAAAGAACTGCCTTCCCAAGGGGCTGGCGTGGCCTCGAGGGGCGGTCCCGCTCCGGGTGACCCCGAGGCTTCGCTTGGTCCCCGCAGCCTCGTCCCCCAGAGGAAAGAGGAGCGTGATCTGCCTGGTGGCGTCGACTCCCGAGGTCTCCACAGCGTTAAGCAGCTCAACCCAAAGGCCCGAGACTATCGTTCATTTCAAACATTAACTCCCGAAACGCACTAAAAACGTAGTAAAATAGGAAGAAAATGAGCTTCGTGGCATCGCGTATGTGCACCTATTCTCACGATTTTAAAGCGTGCTGTACAGGACACCACTTTGTTGGGGTGACCTCGGCCCTCTGGACAGACACTTCTGTCCTCTCCAACACTGTCCCGCACTTTTTAGTTCTGAACTGACCCCCCAGTTAAAAAAAAAAAAGAAGACTCAATTTTCCTTCACAGAAGAAATGACTTTATTCCATTTGAAGAAAGGGTACAGTTATTCATTTTTTGCCTGGCAAAATCATTTCACCATAGGACTCTGAGCCCTGCCTGCTGAAAACAGTGACAAACAGAGAGAGCCGTGGCCTCCGGGGCCGGCGAGCAGACATCGGGCTGGCAGATCAGCGAAACGCTCCTGAAGCAAACGCGCGCCAGCTCCTGTCCCGAAGGCCGTCCTGGTTTTGAAGGACGCGTTGACCACTGAAGATACTTAAAGTTACTCACCGAACCTGGGGAAATCGTTTTTTACAAAACAGAGGGGAGCGAGGACCTGGGGGCCACCTCCAGGACGCTGCTGCCACCCTCCCTTCTCTTAGGATGAATCTTCTCAATTTACCACTGTGTCCTCAAGTGTCAAAGGCCCGAGCCGGCCCCCTCCCTGGAGGCGGACCTCTGAGACCCATTTCCAGTCCTCCGTGAGACCGAGGTGCGACCTTGTCAAAGCAGGTTCTCCCTCCACCCCTGCTCCACCCGAAGGTCCCCAGAGGTCAACCCACGCCCCCCTCCATCCGCACGGAGCACCCAGTTGCCTTGAATGGGAGAAGATGGGCAAACCTCAGGCCAACAGGTGTCAGGCCCCTTTTCACAGCAGGGGCCAGCTCCAGGCCCTCCGTTACCATCAGGAGCCACCCTGCACGTAGAGTGTAAGTCACCCGAAGAAATGCACTGAACCCTCATCTCCTGCGGCTCCAGAATTCCTGAGAATGCAGTCGGGGAAGCAGCAGGAAGCAAGCGCGGGAGCTCGCTTGGCCTGAGAAGTGTCACACGCTGGGACCTCGGTGACTGGCATCATCCCTCCCTCTGTTCAGCTCTGGACTCTGGCCAGCAAGAACTCCAAGCAAGATGGCCTGGGGAATCCAGGTAGCGACCTCTGCGGGCACCAGCCCCAGATGCTCTGGCCCGGAAGTGCTGGCCGCACCACGTGGCAGTGTCAAACACACGCGTGTGTCACACTAAGTAGCTGTAAAGTGCGAGGGTCAGAGCTGCTGTTTGTCAGCATTACAGCAAATGTGATTTAGGGCTTTTGCAATTTTGGAAGTGACGCGGCCTCAAAGAGGCTCACTGGCACGGCAAATACGAAGCAGGATTTGTTCTAATCACAGTCTGTCCCTGGCATCGTCAAACACACGCGTGTGTCACACTAAGTAGCTAACTGGCACGGCAGATACGAAGCAGGATTTGTTCTAATCACAGTCTGTCACGCTACAACAGAGTGACATTCACCGCTATGGGACAGCACCTTTGCCAGGGAGACACAGAACACCATTTGTCAGAGCCAGTCAACCCTCCACAGCAAGCGAGGGACACTACAAACAGCCAGGTGACCAAAGCCGACCCTGGGAGTTCCCATGCTGCAGGTCCGCGTGCCCAGGCTGTCCCCTCCCCCGCTGGGGGCCCATGCAGTGCTACTGTGAAGACACTCACGGCCAGTGCACCGAATGCCTTCAAGAAACGACATTTCGTCGCATCTGTTTCTCTTGCCACGACTTCCCGGACGGAGGGGCTGTGGGTGCTGGCGTTTTGGCCCCGCGGCCTTGGATTAGATGAGGCAATTAGGGCCTGAGCTGAGAACACAACGGTGGCTTCTGAAACGTGTCCCCATGTCACAGCAGAGTAGATGCAGCACCCTAGGATGTGACGACGGCAGCCGATGCCCAGCAGGGGCCCCAGCGCTGCAGCCCGACTTCAGAAAGGACAGTTAGTTCCCCCCCCAGGTGCTGTGCCTGAGCTGGCTGTCTGGAGCGGGGACCGTCGCTACCGGAATTGCTAATTTGGGGGCTGGCCCTCGAGCTGCACTCATTGCCACTGAGCCATTGGGGACAGCAGTTGCGTTCGAAATACTGGGGATCTCGCCGGTGGCTTGTATTTTAAAATAGACCAAATAAAACACGGGTAAGACGATCCCGATGAGCAGCATAATGAAAACGGCGTTCCACCACTGAATCCCACAGTCGGCCCCGTTCCTCGGCGACTTGGCAGGAGCCGGAAGGAGCGGCTGACTGACTGTCTCTCCGCAGCGACTGTCGTGGATGAAGACCTCTGACTGCACCGCACGCTCAATATTCTGGTCAATGCCCCTGAAGAAATCCGTCAGCGGGCTGGACGGGGCGCTGGCGCTTACGGCTGTTCCGTCTTGGTCTGGATGCTCCTCGAAGGTCACTCTGGTCTCCGGGGAGGGGCTCGCCAGGGGTCTGAGTTCCTCGTGGGTCTCTGTTAGGATCCCATGGGTTTTCACCGGAATCTTAATAGACTTCAAAGCATATAGGTCTTGTTCTCTGATGAAGTTGTTGGCGGTCTTGATATCTGCGACCTAAGGGAAGCCACGGAGACAAACATCACGAAACACAGACAGCTCCTTAGCACCAATATCCACAGCGGGGCTAAGTTTCCTGGTGGACGGTCCGAGCCCACCCGCTTAAGAGTCTGATGAACACTGAAAACTGCACCTGTACACAGAAGTAGCTTAGGCTGAGAACTTCGTTTCTGAGCTTTAACTCAGCCTTAATATATAGCTCGATCATCAAATTTTCCTACACGTTTGCAAGTCTGAACCATCTGAGATCAGTTTTGGAGAAGACTTTTCTGTTTGTTCAAAGTGTCACTGCAACAAAATGCTTTGAGGTGAAACCACCACGTGAGTAAAAAGAATGCCTTTGCCCTTCTACTTCTGTTAACTCTGAGGCAACAGCGCCCCCGTCTGGCTGACCCCCGCCACGTCCGAACCCAACGCAGAAGCTGCTGCACGTTATCAGCAAATGCCAAGCTTCAGCCAGCCGGACACTCGGAACCTCGTTTACCAGGAATAACGTTTTATGAGCTGTGCTCGCGTGGCTCTTCCGTCTGCTTTCCCGGAAGAACTGCACGGCAGACGAGCTTATTTTTCTGAATGCAAGTGACCTAGAGTTAATTCACTCTGAGGATTTTACAACTTTGTATAATAATCAGAAACATGGAAGGAATCGTGAATCAGGCTGGGAATCATGCGTTTCATAAAGTAACAAAGTTCATGAGAAACTCTTCCCATAATCAAATCTTAAGATTTAAGGGTGTGTATGTGTGTGTGGCTGGGGGGACTGTAAGTCAAAGATAAACTTCCTCCAGCTTATGTTTGAAAACTTACTGAAAGCATCACACAGTCTATAGTTTTAATTTAGCGTAAATACGGCCGACAGTCCAGTAGAAAGAGCCTTATTCAAATCAATTATCTCCATTATTTTAATTATTTAGCAACTGTTTTTAATCATCTAATTAAATTGGAGTGGGGAACATTTTTAATTTATTATGTCCTGAAACTAAAATATAAGGTGCTAGAGACATTTTTATCTTTGCCTCTAATAAAATCAACTTTATTTATTTAAAGAGGAAAACCGATCACTTATTGGAGGCATTATATATAGTCGTCACAGATTTATCAAACACCGCCATTCCAAAAAGCCCACTGCGTCTATTCGGGTCTGCGGAGGGCAGGATTCATTTTTTGGCTCATGTCCTATAAAACATACAATATGCCTGCACACGCTGATGGTAACAGTCAAGTATATAAACCTCAGGACAATTTAAAACCGCTGTTGTGTCCCTGGTTGGGAGCAGCCTGTTGATTTCCCTGGGAGACACGCCACCCCACACTGTGTTTAACCATCTGAACCTAGTTAGATGAGACACTTTGAGGAGGAAAAGATTTTTAAAATAAGTTGCTCAGATAGCCTTAGAGAAAGCCATACAAAGCTGTAGCAGTGTTAGCAAAATGAAATAAACAGTTTCCAACCGGGAGAAAGCAATTCTATAAATACTTTCCTACTTACTTTGCCACTGTTAATCACTCTGAATGCTAAAAACATAATTAAAAAGAGAAACAGCGTTATATAGATACACAGCATACAAAGGCTAGATCATGCAGTTCCAACCGAGTAAGTTACAACCAGCGAGAATGGGTCAGAAAAAGCAGCCAAAAAACCAAGCGTACCAAAGAAACCTCAGATCTAAGTTCTCCCTGGCCCCCTTAGGTCTCAAAGAAAATGTGCTCAAAAGAAAACAAACAAACGAAAAAGGTTTCAGCCTTTCAGTTTGGAGGGACATGGAAGAGGAGAAGTCGGCAGAGAGGCGACAGCCTCATCACCTGAGAGTCCCTTCACGACCCCTCGGCTGCAGAACTGACTACTTCCTCCTGGTCTCCCACTAACAGGGGAACCCTTTACGCTGTAGGAGGCCTCCCCCATCACCCCTGGGGGTCGGGAGGGGGCGGCAAGCGCCACTCATCGGTGACTCCGCTTACGCGGACAGGGAGGGGCGGTGGCACCTGCGCCCGCGGGGGTTCCTTACTTTGCAGCCGTACTGAAGGGCGAGCTTGTTGAGACTGTCCTCCAGCGCCAGCTCCCGCTGCAGCAGCACCACGCCCCCTGCTCCCGGCCGCCGAGGGTGGTGGGCACCCTTCTTCTGGCGCTCCTGGCCCCGCGGCCGCAGAGCCACACGCGGGGACTCTTCCTCGGAGGAGTGCCCAGAGTCCCCACCGCCACTCTCAAACACGTAAACTTGGCTGGTCGGAGTCCTACAGACCAGGGCTGGGCCTTGGAAAGGCTTGGTTAGCACTCCCTTCTGCCTCATTGTCTTAAACTGAAAACCAAACCCCAGCGTTAATTGCAGACAAAGCACATTCAGTCCCCTGACTACGTTAAAGATCGGTGTCTCGTTAGAGAGGGCTCTTTTCCCTAATTTTAAGTACCAAAAAAAAAAAAAATCACCCATCTGCACAAAACGATGTGTTTATGCAGGGCGAGAGGCAGATAAAGACACTTTTTTTCCTGATTACATATTCAGAACACAAAAGAACCCCTCGTCTTGACCCCTCATTCCTCATCCGCACCTGCGTCTCCCCAAAACCACAGATGTGGAGGAAAAAAAACCTTTTTGCGGCCTCTGAATAGCAAAGGCACGGCTGGGATCCTTGCACCCAGAATCTTAATTCGGAATCGCTGTGCAAAAAATTATTGTTCAGCTTTACACGAAAGTATCGTCACTAAGGCCGCTTGATTAGAAAAACTAGGAACACTCGTATTTCGTATTTAAATTAAATACTATGTAGGGCAAGTCAGGGGAAAATTTCTGTCGACTAAAGAAATTCGTCCAGTTTCTCACAAGTCCCTTTGCTTTCATTACATCCTCTGATTTTCATGTTCATTTCCAGCCAAGTGCAAAACTCATCATACCCCGTGTCCCCTCTCCAAAGTGACCTAATGAAGAGTCTCAAATATGGGGAATGACAGCCTCAAAGAGAGCTGGCATCCGGGCCCTTCCGAGTCACAAGGGAGCGGCCCATTCGGGGACAGCCGGTGGCCCAGCGCGACCCCTCCACCCCCGAGTGCGTCCCCGGGGGTCGCCGCCCCAGCGCCCCCTCCTCCGCACTCCCCGAGGTCGGGCCCGCAAGGGACCCCGGAGGCTCCCAGGCCTCCGTCTCCCTCACTGTGACTTCCGTGAGAAAAGGGGGTCCGCAAACACGGGCTGACAGAAAAAAACGAGGAGCGGCCCACCTCCGCGCTTGGAAGGGAGGGGGCCCCAACATTCCACAAAGGCACCACCTCTGACCTCCAACCTCGGCAACCTCAGGCCCGCCCTCGACGGTCGCAGTCGTCGCCCCTCCGGCTGCCGGAGGGTGGCCCGCCCCCAAGCCGACAAGCGGGGCTAAGCCACGGAGTGGCGAGAAGCCCGCGCTGCCCCCCGAACAGGCCCAGAAGCCCCCAACCCGCAGCGAACCCCAGTACCTCAGCTCCCAGGATTCACCGCGCCCCGCCACCGCGCCTGCCAATTGGCTGCGAAAATCAGGTCTCGGGGGCGGGCCGGCAAGGCAGCCAATGAAATCCGGCGTGCGGGCACTGGGACGCGCCGGCGAGGCAGCCAATAAAATCCGGTGGGCGGGCACTGGGACGCGCCAGCGAGGCAGCCAATGAAATCAGCGGTGGGCGGGCACTGGGACGCGCCAGCGAAGCAGCCAATGAAATCCGGTGGGCGGGCACTGGGACGCGCCGGCAAGGCAGCCAATGAAGTCAGCGGTGGGCGGGCACTGGGACGCGCC